GTAGAAGATAATTCCAGTGCTTACTGCTGTGAAAGTATCTGCTCATGTTGCAAATATAAGACTAGACTGGCGTGCTCTTTAAAATATTTGCAGTAGACTTGCTTTTGCCCACTTCCATTTTTTGATGTAGGGACCACCAGTGTGCTTCTAATGCAAATCACTACCTCTTTCCTTGGCTGTATAAATGACTTTATTATTCAGGCTGAAGCCTAATACAGGCTTGTTTTGATACACTGAAAATAACCTAAATCAGTCTCTCATCTCTTCAGAGGTGGTATTCAGCAGGTTCTGACCACTTCTGGAGAACCAGAAGTAGCGGAAATTTTGAGCAGTTTGGAGAACCAGCAAAATCTGGAGATTTTACAGTATCCTTCCCCTGCCATGCCCAACCAAGCCATGCCCACAGAACCGGTAGTAAAAAATTTTAAATCCCATCACTGCATTTCTTGTTTCCAATGGAAGCCACTATTTTAGGCTCTGGATCAATGACCATCTGTTTACAAACAGCATTTTGTGCAGCATAAGGAATCTAGCTCCGTCTGGTTAGCATTTTTGTTTTAGCTTCTTATGCCAATTTGAGTTTACAGCTTAAGAGCAAATTTTGTTCTAATTTTCATACTGCAAACCACCTGGTCAAAATCCTGGTATGATGATCATGATTATCCACTAGAGAAGTGATTAGATTGCCTTCAGGGTTCCTTCCAACCCAAACGTTCTTGAATATCCAGTCTTTGTGTTAACCCAGAAGAGCAAATGACAGACACTTGTGGAATCTGCAAGGGGCAAGATGGAACAGCTCTATCTGCTTGGCCATAAATTATCTTCTTTTGCATTCCTGTTCCATTCCTCCATTAGAAGCTACTTTGATTTATTATTAGCAAGTATGGACTTATTCTTTAACCTTTATGGTTGTGTTCTGCCTTTCAGATTATTATACATAATCGAGTACTTCTGCCCACTCCCTGGCCAGTAATTCACAAGTGGTTTTTGAAATCCCACTGTTTTCCCCCTAATATTAGCCTTATGAGGGTAGTCATTTGGAGAACAACTCTTGAAAGTGATTTAAATGGATTTCAAGGCTCAGGACATCAATGTTATATAATTAATATTAATGTGCACATACATTAAAAAACCCTTTTTGGATGCTTCAAGAGTAGGAATGGGCAACCTTTTTGTAGCCATGTGAGTTTCACTTAAAAATAAAAATTGCTTCAAGGGCTTGAAGGTGGTGATGTAGTAATATTCCTAGGAAAGGGGCGAATCCTATTTTTTTTTTTTAAAGCTAATTGTGTTTTACTAAAGCACGGCACATTATTTATTCAACAGCCTCCCTTACCCATCTGTTTTGCTGGCAACACTTAGAATTGCTCTTTCTCAGGCCAGAGAGGATGGACTTTGGTGAACTGTGCAGAGTTAGGGAAAAAAACAGCAAGAATAAAAAATGCCACAAACAACTCCCCATCCCAAAGGCAGGGTTACAGATTTGCACTATTATCAGAAAAATGCCTAGCCACTCAACCTACTATAGTACAACCAACATAAGCTATGAAAAGGACAGCACTGCCAAATATCAAAAACCTCTCACAAACAAACAACAGACTATTACAACTACAAGGCACACAAATCAACCAAAGCTCTCCAAAACCTCTTAAGAAAACCAAAAGACCCATCTACAACTTGTCTGAGTCAGAGAAGTATAAGATTAGGAGAGCACATTCATGAACGTCAACTAGTAGTCGGATGACACAATGAAAACTCCTAAAACTCACAACACATGGACAGATCTACCATAGTTTCATTTTTAGGAAACAATGAGCATTCCAGATCAAGTCAAATCTAAAAATGCTAGAGAATTCCTGGAAGCTTAGCATTCAGATAAATCAGCCATCAATAGACACAGATAAACCACATTTACACACCATTCAAAAGAGACAATAAAAAAGCTAAGAAGGAAACAAAAAGATTAGAACACATCCTTTCCAGCAACCTATACCAGATAAACAGGGATCAACACCAGACAAGCAATCTAGAAAACTATAATTAAGGAACAACCAAGGAGAAAAATCACACATCCACCAACAGTGGCAGGAGAAACTATTGTATATAGAGAGCCGATTTCAATCTCACTAGAACTGATGGAGCTACTTAGGTAATTAAACATCTGCAAGCAAATAACCAAACTTGGAGAGCATCAAGAACTCTACAGTTCAACTGTGAGCTATTCTTAAATACTTTTCAGATACTCTCAAGTGGTACAGGAAGCATTTCAGTACAGATTTTAAGAGATCCCTACAACAGTAAATATACTATAAAAGGTAACCCTCGTTAAAGGAAGCCAAAGCTGCTCTAAGGTTGCCTGCTCCCTAAAATCAAACTTACTGAAAATCTGAATCAGATATAAGAAACACGGAAAATGCTAACAAGCAACTTGATAACAATATCCCAGAAATACTTAGGGAGAAAAAGTGATATCAAGAATAAATGCTTTGAATAAATTATATTATTGCTGTAATACATTATTTACTTTTGAGGTGGTAATATGAATTGGTTGTTGGTTGCAGCGGCATCTAAATAAGTAATGAATTTGCAGTATTCGCTGGCTGCACACATGCAAGATGTTTTGTTATGGGTTGAATAAACTATAATTGCTAAAAGTGGTTTATAAAGGGCTCTGGCTGGATTCCCACAATGTCTTTTACTATACACATCATTAAAAATTAGTATATTAGGTGATCAGGCTCAAATTACGCTTCTTTGGACATGATTTGAAGACCCATCTCTCTGGAGAAGGCTCTGAGGTTGGGAAAGATTAGAAGGGGGACAACCAGCAGCAACCAGATTAGTCTTTCTGGTTAACCTTTAGGCTTTAAAAACCTGAAGGACCAAATTAAGGACAGATCATCATGGAAAACATCTGTGTGGTTGCTAGGACCACATTGCTAGGAGATGACAGCAATTTGAAGGTATGTAATCAATCAAAATCACTATTAAACTCTCTTTTAAAAAAAACGGGAGGGGAAGAAATGAAAGCCTGTTCAAAACTACTTTAGAGCCACTTTTGCCAGTGACAACCCTCAAGGTCTTGTTCTGATGGAAGGCCTGGCTTAGTTGCTATGCGAATGGGCACATTCATGTGGTAAAGCAACTCTGCTGACTGGTGGGTGGGATGGCCTTGATTCTGCCTGGCAGGATTTGCAGAACCTGAAGAGATGCTCTCAGAAGACAATTTCCCATAGGGGAGAGAGTGCTTCACATAAAATGCAACCACCGTGACATTTCTGATTTTTGCTGGGGGTTACAGGAGGGAAGAGAGGCTGGATGCTCAGAGGGAAAGTTCCCGCTTGCATCCAGAATGCCCCAAATCTGAATCAAGGGTCAAAATAACAATGCTCAGAGAAACATTGGAGGAAAACCTTATGAAGCAGAATGGAGAACAGAGCAAGAAAGAAAAATAAAATCGACCCTCCTGGAGATGACTACTCCCTTCCAATGACCGATAGTGCTATCTTGCACACAGATGTTCATACCCTTTGTATGGAATTCCAGACCAATCCTTGGGTGCAGACAATTGCCCAAAGGTGGATCACCAAGGCTGACTTTACTCAACATACCAGGCCAGCATGGCGAAAGCTGCTATAAGCATATTCGAATAGAGAGGCAAAGCCCAGAAGCAGTAAAAAGCTCTTTCTCTGTCTATGGAGATTCTCAATCATCCAGGCCATGATTGCCCCAAACTGGGCATTCATTTTTTTCGTGAAAACATTTCGTTTCTCATCCAAGAAGCTTTTTTAGCTTCTGAAGAAACTCCTTGGATGAGAAGCTAAATATTTTCAAGGAAAAAACCAAGAGCCCCATTGCCTTTGGGAAAGCACCTTTGGAACGGCTCTTTCTCTGGTTATCGACCATCTCACAGGCAGCCAAGTCCAGATCACCCCAAGTTTCACATGTTCGTAAGAGCTGTTAAAACACTTAAAACCCTCCCTGCAGGAAAAGGTGACACCCTGCAACTAGACTTTAACAAACCAAAAGGTGAGGCACCAATGGTGGTTTCTGTTTAATCTTGAAGGAACACAAAAATTAAAATGACATACAAGGAAGACAAAGGTAAAAGGAGAAGAGATTGTTGAGATCCCCTTGCAGGAACAGAGAGAAGCCATCTTCTTCCTTGGGCTTCTGTGTTCGTTCCCATCCCTTCTATACCTTGCAGGCCATGTTGACAACAGTTTGGGGAAGGCCCAATGAGGAAACTGGGCCAGCAGGAACTAGAGCAGAGATCTCTCCACTTGCAACTCAGTGGCCTGAGAGGAGCTGAGTGGTGGCAACAGACAACCGACCTGTCCCCATATAGCCCCTTGCATGTTATTTGGTGTAGAAGGAAGCTGAGATGCTTTAGAACAGGGAGATGGTGAAGCAGGCGGCAACCCTTCTGACTACAAATGTGTGGAGAACCTAATTTAGCAAAACAAACCACATTCTTTAAAAAAAATAAGCAGAACGGGGGAAATTGTGAGCCAGGATTCCCTTTATATGTTGTTATGTTTTACTTGCAAAGTCTTTTTTTTTTTAATGGAAACATTAAGAATGATATCTGCACACACTTGTAGTCCGTAGGTGGTACAGCTCATTTTACCATCTCAGAATCTGACCACTACTTTCTGGTGATATTCAGTGGCAAGACTGGGCATGAGCGTTTTTCCTATCCATTAGCACTTCCAAGGTGCAGGTCAGACAGCTGCAGGAGCCATTCCTTTGAAACAGGGGGAACACCAATGAGCTGGAGAGGAATGTTTTGTTTACCTGGCAAAAATAGGAGGCTCAAGACATTCTCCTTTTCCACTACCACTTATATTACCTGTGTGAACAGGAGCTGCCCTGACTGAGGTGCCCCTGCAATCTGGGGAACCTTTGCTGGTGGGGAGGGGGGTGCACAAAGAGGCCAGGCCTCTTCCTCTGCCCAAACCGTGTATCCCTTTCACTGGATGATCTTGCTTTGCCTTTGCCACACAAGAGCCACACTCATGCCATCTCCACAAGTCCATCTTCTGAGAACAGGAGCCAATTTTGCAGAGGGCATTGGCAATGCTGGTTGGATTACCAAGCACGGGGCATGAGAGGGAGCTGCGGTTTCACAAGTATCTTGATTCAGCTTCCCCCAAAATGCGATGGAACTTCAATGGCTTGTTGGGTAAGCCTGTCTCTATCCCATCCCCAAAGTCAGGCGGGGAAAGGAGAGACATGTCCTAGTCCTGTGTCTTCTTATTGCTGTTGCCCAGTGAAAAGGACTGCATAGGGCAGGGAGAAGGAAGGGCGCAAAGTCCGCACACAGAACAGGTGGCGAGGTGACCCACGAGACAAGACTAGCCCTTCGCCAAAACCAAAGAAAGGGGGGGCGGGGGGGGGGGAGTTCCTTTTGAAGTTGCATCTCATCCCTGGCTGCAAGTCCTACAAGCCCACAGGGAGGACTCACTGGAGCAAGGGAGAGAAGGGAAAGAAACACTGCTGCTGTTCAACAGCACACGCTGCTCTGAGGCACAAGCCGGATCTCAGGGGGGAAACAAGAGACGATGGACTCGGGGAACCACACGGGAAAGGAGGGGTGGTGAGGCAGGAGCACAATTCTGGCAACGTGGCACACACCAAAACCCAGCTTGCACTTGCTTGGTGTGACTGGGCAGGAACACAAGCTGGCATAGCAGGCTAGAGCAGCCATTGTCTGAGCACTGCCCAGACTTTTAAGTGGAATTGTCAGAGACCGTACCCTAGAGAGGCCTACTGGCCAGAGCTATCTTGAGTCCGCTCCCCTGAATCGCCATCTTCTCTTGATCCCAACAAAAACAAAAAGGACCCCAGGGGTCAGGATAAAGGTAGCGTGGATCAGAGAACACAATATAAAACAGTCCATAACACACAAAGTGGAGTGATTCCTGGCGCAGTGGGTCCTCTCCACCACCTTATCACTCCAATCAGGGTAGGGACTGGTGGAGCAGCTGCCAGTGTTACAAGCTGCCTCTGGGGGACCAACCGGCCGTGGGCCTTCGACGCAACACAACTCTTCCTTTTTTTGCTGAGGGAAGTTTGGAGGAGAATGTGTGGTACACAGCGTGGCAAGCCGATAGCCTGCGCAGAGCAGAAACAGATTTCCTGCCTTGCCAGGCAGGCCTGAGAAAGTGGAGCCTGCCTGCATCGCTAAAATGGTCCCAGTGAAATATGAAGTGGGACGGGCTGAGAATCATGAGGGGAAGGATGCTTGATGGACAGTTCAGAAGACTGAACTGTGAAACTCCTTTGAAAGTACTGTAATAGCCAGAATACCATCTCTTAATACCTTTTGCTTTAAGCCTCTGGCTACCACACAGTTCTTTGCCACAGCAGGCAGTTTATGTTTAGATTTGGTTTTGGGGGTTGGGGGGGGGGGGGGAGTAGGGATAGACAGAATAGGAGAGAGGAGAGAATAGGGAAATACTGAAAGGCGACTGAAATAATAATCTGCAAGATTAGGATCTCAGCTGTACCTTAAAACCACTTGGTACCTTCACCCGCCATGTGAGAGAGAAGGGCCCTCTCCCCTCCCTTTGCACAGGAGGGGGGACAGCACAGGCAGGAGGGGGAGGCCCAAGAAAGGAGACGAGTGACTGGTGAGGAGGTGGATTGCCATGGCTTCCAATTGCAGCCAACAGGTCAAGGGTTCAAGATCAAAGCTGGTGACCTCTGTCTCCTCTCCCTGAAACAGTCTTGACTAGCTCGGCTTAAATCCTGGGCAACAGCTTCTCAATGAAGTCTTTCACGGCCATCATCTCCTGCACAGATGGAAGAGGGGGGAAAATTTTATTTTACTTCTTGATGCCACGCTAGAGAGAGGGACCCACAAAACCAGCACTGATACCTCCCTTCCTGGCCCCCCGAGTCTTAGCATACCCCAAATATTATCAATTCGGAAACTAAATACACATGTACCCATGATCATAATTTTCTGAAGACATGGACAGCAGTCCAACAAGTTCAGCCTACAGGGCACTGAGAGATATGGCTTTCTTAGAAAGCGGTAGTGTATCACATAACAAAGGCTTCCTTATTAAGAGAGAGCTCCACAAAAAAAGGATCCATTTCCAGCTGCTGCCAGCTGAGATTCAGAAGAGTTTCAAGATCTAGCGACAGAGCTTGCCAGGCAACATAAAGTACCTTTATCTCAGCATGAACCTTTTGCAATCAGGCCCCAGCTATGAGAAACGGTATGGCTGCCAACCAACCTGAGGGCAAGAGTTGTGCATCATTCTTGGGTAGGTTCTGAACTGGATTCTACTAGGATTCACAACCCCCTTCAGCTTCTCTGCAGTGAGAGCTCCAAAGCGCACTGGGATCATTGGGTCCATCTCGCCATGGCACTGGAGAATGGCGATATCTTTGTTCACACCATTACTTGCTGCCTGCAGTCATCATGGGGAAAAACAGCAGCAGCAGGGTAAGCTGTGAATCATCCACGAACAGAGGTTGGTATCTTGGCATGGTCACTGCAAAGGAGTGGTTCCATCCAACTGACCTTGGCCCAGCATGCATCTCTCCCCCTCCCCCAGTTCCAAAAGAGAGGTTAAGCCACCTACTTGAGGGAAGGTCCTGTGCAGGGGGAGCCAACAGCTGAGGGCCACAATGCCAGCCAACTGGTGAGAGCAAGTGAGCGCTGTGTAGAGGGAGAGGGCGCCCCCCTGAAGTACAACGACATCAGAAAAACTGGTCGGAATTTATTCCAGTAAGGGTCTTCCGCCAAACGTCCTTCCCCAAACCAATCTCCTCCTCTGGTGCTCCCCCCATTTCACAGCAAAGAATGCCATCCCCAAATGCAGGCCTCAAGAAACCCTTCCCTTCAAATTAATTGCTTATCAGAATCTCACACGTGAAAAAATCATTAGCTGTCAGCAAGTTGAACCATTCTTTGGGGAAGTTGAATGAGAGTATTTGACAAGAGACTGTTTGCCCCAAAAGGAAACAGAAAACAAATAAACAGAGTGCTAAAAATCCATTCTAAATGTCCAACTCTGTCTACCTTAGAGGAGCTTGGCAGACATTATTGCAAAGTGTGAATGCATGTTTCCCAGAGTCTTAAGAATTAGAAGCTTATTTTACCTTTTTTTCTGAGATCCATGGACTATTCAAGAGATATAAATACAGCTTCACATTCCCTTCCAACCTCTTTGAAGTATAAACTATGAAGTGCTTGTATTAGAACTCCCTTTTTATGGCTCTGTAATCAAACAACTCAATTCTTTAATTAAGATAAAAGGAAAGGAAAGGAGTCCTGCGGATTTTACTCTGCTAGTTATTGCTGGCAATATGGTGCTCATCTTCGTTTCAAGGCCATTGAGCTAGCATTGTCTGAAGATATTTCTGCAGTCATTTGGCCAGCATGATGTCATGGAGCACTGTTACCTTCCCACCAAAGTGGTATCTATTTATCTACTTGCATTTATATGCTTTCCAACTACTTGGTTGGCAGGAGCTGGGGCGAGGACAGGATCTCACCCTGTAGCCTGGTCTCAAAACTGGGCTGCTGGCTTTCCAGCTGACAAGCCCAGTGTCTTAACCACTGAGCCACCGTGCCACTCCAATTCTTTAATTAACATGACTATTACATCACAATAATTTAATTTTTGAGCAGTTCTCTTTTTTTTTGCTTTTTCACATGATCCTGCCTCTTTTTGCAGCATGGTTGACACTTGGCCTAACAAAGCTGCACATGTGTTTTTTCCAATAAGCAGCAGGACTCAAAATAAGGCCTTCTGGAGCAAGTTTGGGCTCCCAAAAAAATACCTTGCTTTCTTCCATTTTTGGTGCAGCTATGTGGTCAAGATGGACATCCTAAAGTAGTGTTTCTTAATCTTGGCAACTTTAAGATATGTGGACTTCAACTCCCAGAATTCCCCAGCCAGCCTGAGAAATACTGTCTTAAAGGAAGCTAGTCATCTCCATTCCCTGTCAAGGGGGCTTTCCAGGTGCCCCAGAAACCAGTCCTACTCTTAGTCCGCATAGAGAACTGCCTCCTCCGTGCCCCATCAGTTCCCACCTGTGAAAAGCCTGCCAAGATGATTCGGTTGGCTGGGATCCCATTTTTTACTTCATGGTCAATTACAGCTTTAACTGGAATGCAGAAAGAGAAAAGAGACATTCAGTTTGGCAGCAAGTTAGCACAGAGTTGGAAGTGGTCATGAAGCAAACAGGCCTGCTAATATGGATTCATAACATGGTTCGCTCTGTTAGAAATGCCCCCTTTTTAAAAACTCAAGCCGAAGGAGCTACAGAATCAGCGCTCAAGGAACAGAGGTGCAAGTAAACGGGGAGTATGCTGTAAGAAACCATGGGAGAGGGTGAGGGTGGGTGCAAAAGTCCACAGCATTACAACTGCTTTGGTTTTGCAAAACAGCTCTGGAATTTGCCTTAGGAAGGAAGCGGTTTCAAATGACCACACAGGGCAGAACTGTGACTCTCTTCTTCAGCCAGCCTTGAAGAAAGGAACTACTCTCTGGCCACAATGAATTTTAGAACTCCCTGGGAGGCTGTGTGATCTCCTCAGACAGCAATTTGCCAGCTGGAGAAGCCCTTTTTTTTGAAAGGCACTTCTTTCATAGACTACATATATTTCATTCAATGTTTTTACTTTAGTTTCTCTTACTTGCCTATTGGATAACTCTTCTTTTCCTTAGTTATTATTATGCAGCATATAAATTCTGGTTTGTTGCAGTGAGCAACGTAAATAGGAGAGGGATGCCTGGCCCCCCCCCCCCCCCCCCGTTTTATACGAACACATGAAATAAGCAGAGATTGGGAAAGTGCCAGGTGTGCAATTCGAGACTTCCTTGATCCTCTCTTTCCTGCCACCATTAACCTTTACCTTTATCAAAGAAGGGCTGCAGCTCAGGGGGAAATGACATGATCTCTTGGAGAATAGCCCAAGTTCTGTCCTCTTATCTCTGTCTTAGATCTGGGAAAGTTTCCAGTTAGGAGAAGCCTTTCTCCAACCTGGGGCCCTCCAGGTATGTGCAATTCCCAGAAAGTATGGCCCACAGACAAAGAGGCAGGGTAGAGGCAGACTGCTTTAAAGAGCCACAGATACCACGTGGCAGGCAATGTTTTTGGCAGTCAGGAATTGCAACCTTCTACAATTTATTTATTTCCTGGGCTCCAAGAATAGTGGAAGATACTGTAATACCACTCTGTATATTATTGCCACAGCATTGGCTCTTTCCTTAGGAAGGGGCTCTAATGGAATTCATCTTTTTTTTTTTAAATGAAGTCAGCTCATGAAGTGCAGCTTAATTCCATATGCATAGCCCAAAACAAAAACAATTGCAATATTGAATTTAATCAGAATAATCTGTCAGTGATGCACAGGCCACAAAAAGGAGACGGGTGTGTGTTCACCAGGATCATCTGACTTGCCCAACCTTGATGTAAATTATTTGAGATATGGGTCTGACATTTTAATAAAGGCATTTTTTTTCTAAAAGAAAGGTTATATATGCACCAAGGCAAATTGGATCGCCCTCAAGCCCCAAAGATTTATTTTGTTTTTTCTATTCAGATTTATGACTTGCATGTCTGCACATTCCCAAGGACTGTTTATGTTCTTCAAAAAGTAGCCTACAGAGGAGGCCCAGTGTTCACCCAGCTGGAGAATCTCGACACCTGGCTTCTGCTATGTACAAGGAATTAAGTTTTCCAGGCCATTTTGCTGGCTTTACTTTTTGTGTGAATTAGGCAGTAACTGCAAAAGCAGAAACGGTTCAGAGTTCTTTTTAGGCTTGGGAAATGACCCCAACCCGCCTTTCTTGGTTTCCAACCACTGGAAATTTTGATTAAGAGAAATGTGGGCCGACTCGGAAGATGCCCAAGGAAACACCTCTCTTACTGTTCTCAGCAGCTTTTTTAATGCCACTTTCATCTTCTGGTGCATCCGGACTTAGCCCCATTAAATCAAACCTGAAATGGGGGAAAAAAAGGAAAAACCATCACTGTCATTATCTTCTAAGACACGTGAAAGCCGTGAGGCATAATAGCATTATGGTGCAGTGGTAACTTGGCTATATGGAACTCCAGCAGCAGCATTTGGAAATAGGGGCAAAATTCTGTCTACCCCTCAGCATCTTCCATCTGACATTCCACCAGACCTTAAGAGGCATAAAATGACCAACTCCGTTCCACTTTTGGGTGAAGGCATGCCGGATTACAGGTCTAAAATCAGGATTCATCTGATATGTGTGTGAGAATAGTGTCCATGTCACTGCCCAGAATTGAAACTAATAGCTACAACAATTTTTAATCCAAAACATTAGGACTGCAGCTCCCCACAGCTGGCCCTGTCATGATATTTATGTCATATCCGGAGGGTAGCGGTTTGGAGAAAGCTTAATTTGAAGCTTTGTAGCAGGCAGCAATTTGAAAAAAAGGCCAAAAAGAACAAGTGAAAATAAATACAACTCTGCTAAGATTATAATAAGGCTGTATAAGGAGACTATATTTACACCACATACTTAATGTTACTAAATGAATACTTCCACGAGTAAACCCCATGTATTCTCTCCAAGCTTGCACCAACCCATTAGTCTACTACCTTTTCCCACACAATTTCTCCAAGGTCTTTTCCCAATGCTCCTAGGGCAATTCCAGCTGCACACGAAACTGAAAATAGGGCAGAAGATGAATTTGGCTGCTAATAATCCACGGAATATTATTTAATACTAACCAGGAGGGCATAACCATCTTCATGTTGAGAGTGACAGGGATCCTGGGTCTGCAAAGAGAGACAGAAGATGGGGTATAATTCTAGTAGGACCACAGGTAAAAAGGATAAGGAATTAAAAATGATAAAGAAATATGAAAATATACTGTTTAAAAAAATAACACCAACATTCTTGGAATTCTTCAAGTGCACTAAGTCAACAAGAGCAGTTTAGATCAATGCTACAGTCTAGACCTTTCCCATAAAACTGGCAGTTGGGAAGCCATTTTGCAGGCAGATCAGGTTTGTAAAGCAAGAGAAAGCAAAGCTACTCTCCTTCTCCCATCTTTATTTCATTTAGAGTCCCTGCTTAATCAAGCAGTGTTTGATGTGGTTGCCTAGTAAACTATCCTGGGATCTGACCATTAGGGGACTGACTTGATCCTGGGCTTGCTGCTTTTGCTAGGAAGCAGCTAAGAAACACTCCGCCATTTCTTTGTATATTGATTCTGCCCTCAGCAAAACTGGCTTTGGAACTGGGGACTATCTGCCTACTGCCCATCACAGAAGCTCAAGCAACAGGATTGACAGCAAGATAGCATAGAGTCAGCCGCAGAATGTGCTGCAAAAGTCACCGGGATAATGTTCTAAGGTAAGAGATGAACATCGAGAAAGGCAAGAGGGTTGGTGGTAGGTTCAGGCACAGTTCTGCATACTTTCCGATATCATCCCTCATATTTACTATGTGTATGTGAGGATGAAGCAGAACTGTGCAGTCCCTTTGAAGGCCCCAACTCATTCTGGCTTTGATGTTTGCCTGTTCAGGATTTGGAGATATTCAGGTGGGAAATGCATTCCTGCTCATTATTTGGTATATCAACTTCCTGTCTATTTCAGTGGATGAGTCTCAACCTCAGTTGCTACCAGGGTCTCACATTTGGAATTCTGTACATGGCTAAATAGAGAGCTGGGGCTCAGTTGGGGCTTTGTGATGGTCCAAATTCCGGATCCCTAGTAGCTGTTAATAGGAAGAATACAATGTCTAAGCATACATAATCAGGATAAATTATTAATGAAACTTCTTGGCACAAATTATGTCACCCCTTGCACATACTTCCAGCCAGTGAACTCAAGCCTAAAAGAGGTCAGAATAGGTCTTTTTTTTTTTCCTGTCTATTAAAGAAGAGTGAAAAAAAATGGAAGTTGTAGAAAAAGGGTCAATAGGGTCAAAGGGAAAATAGCTATAGCTCCGTATTTTAATCATTAGTTTCCAGGCTTGTAAGAACTACACATTTTGAGAAGCTGGGAAGGATGGGAAAGCCTGACAGAGTGGCATTCAATAAAGCAGATATCAGAAGTATATGCTGGGTTCTAAGCCATGTAACCTTGGCTTATTATACTTTGCTTGCAACCTGCGGTTCTCTCCCTTGCTGGTACTATTCTCTTCTGATTTTGCAACCCTCTTTTCAAATAGCAACCTCTAGCCCTGCCCATTATCAAGCTTTCTATCTTTGGATTAAGTCCTGGTGTACCACAAGATTACGGTGAATAAGTCTCTTGGTCTTTTACTGTTTTAAGATAGTGGTGGCTACAAATATCTATTATTATTGTTATGGTTGGTTGCACAATCAGCCAGGTGTTTAGACTGCATTTGGCATTTTTATCCACCTATTGGTGGATAAAAGAACCTGGGATAGGCAGGTTTGAAGGTATTATTATCACTATATACATAACAATGTGAAGTGGCATCTGCCACGTCTTCAGCAAGTGCTTGCCTTCATTTGCATCAAGTTCTTCCCAGGAACCTAGGATGCCCTAATGTATTAGGCAGAATATTTCAGAATCCAATATTTGAGAATCCAAGCATGTTGTTATATAGTCACTCTTTGTGGGCAATACTAGGTTATTGTGTTTTTTGTAATGGTGGTTATGTTGATTGTACACTGTCCTGAAAGCCATGGAATGAAGGGCGGAATTTATTTTTTAATGAAAAGCAATGGTAGGAAACTCTTTTCAGTGCAGTAGCCACATTTCATCCCTCTGCCCTGCCCAAAAGATACAAGAGGTGTGGCCAGTGACAGCATTAATATCAGAGAACAAGTGCTTTAATGTTTTCATCCCTGAAGGAAAACCAGCAAATTGGAAATGAAGTTCAGTGCTTTTCAACCTGCATTTTAAAGACAGAACAGTGATACTTACGCATGAGGGCAGATGTATTTCACGTAAGGGAGCCGGATAGAAGACAGAGCATCAGCCCAGCTGTGCCTGAAGGGGAAGGGCAAAAGAAAGCAGGTCCCATCACCATCCAACATAAACATGAAAAGGCAAATATTTTTTCACTGCCCCATCTCAGAGGCTCAATCTTCTAAAAAAGGCAGTTGGGAATATGCTCATATCTGCCAGCTGCGATAAGGATCTGTGCCAAAGATTCAATATATTACTCAAACATTGCATCGGTGAGGACAGCTTGGGAGAGAAGATCATATCCCAATATCAGTGCAACATTCAGATATACAAGTAGTCCTTGACTTATGACCATTTGTTCAGACTCTTCAGTTACATTGGCGCTGAATAAATGGTGGCTACTACTGGTATTCAGAGCTCCAGCCATCCTAGCACCCGCCCCCAGTCACATGACTGCGATACGGGTGCTTGGCAAGCCTTTTGCACTATCAGTTGCTTGCCAAGTACCCCGCGATCACGACTGCCATTAGCAGCCTTCTATGCCAGCTTCCCCAGAAAGTCAAGAGGAAGCCAGTGGGGAATATCACAAGTCCCTGGGGTAAGTTTCCACTCTCCCGCAGCCCTTGTGTACTTGCCCCAGCACTCATACACCCTCACCAACTCAAGCAGTGCCTCTCAAGCACCCCTGCGTACCCTTCCACAACCACATGGCACTTCTTGTATACCCTCTTTTACCTTTGCATAGTTTCAACCCTCCTTGACCCATGCAGCACCTCTTGTACACCCTTCCCAACCCACACCTCTCATACTCTCCACATACTTTCTCAATCTGTGCAGTTCCTCTCATCAATTTTTTGCGGTTAAAAATAAAGGTAAAGGTTTCCATTGTCTACTTGTATCTGACTTTAGGGAGCTGTGCTCATCGCAGTTTCTTAACCGAGGGAGCCAGGATTGTCTGAAGATCTTTCTGTAGTTGTGTGGCCAGCATGACTGTATGCACAGGTGCACAGAATGCAGTTACCTTTACACCAAAGTGGTACCTATTTATCTGTTCATGTTTGCATGCTTTCAAACTGCTAGATGGACAGGAGACTGCTACGTGGGTAGGGGTTTTTGTAGTTAAACTGATGTAAATGAGGAAATGGGATTACTCTATCTCCCATAAGACTCCTGCTCTTCACCCTTAATTTTTAAACAAGCCAACAAAGAAAAATGCCACAAAACTTGTCCATTTTAAAATCAAATTAATTGTTGGGGAGCTGCATTGGCCTACAGTTGCTAACTCCTACACTAGATGGGCTTTCTAGGTTCTATTCTATGCAAAAACTAGGTTTTAAACTCCAAAGTCACCAACTTCATATTCTCATTGCAATCCTTTAATATTCTGCTCCTTATGTCGGCAACAATACCAACATTTCACATTTACCTTCAGCTCCTGATTTCCCAATCCAGGTTTATGAAATGCAGAGGGTTTTTTGCCTCCCCAACCCCCATTACCAGCATAGATATACAGCCCAGATTTCCCCAATACTCACCCTGTGTCACCAAGCCCGTGCAAAAAAATGACCTGCAAAGTCAAGTAGAAAATAAGCACATTACCCAGCTCAGCAAGTGAGAAAGTCTAGCAAAGCTACTGTAATCAGGAAGCATTCTGTGAGGTTAATTAGTTGCAAAACAAAAACAGATTACGCAGAAGGGAAGAAGCAGGAATCACTCAACCTAAGGTAGTTAGAAAATGATGAAAAAGAAGATGTGTGTGACTGAATCCATTCGTGACCAATTTACCATCCTATCATGATGTCTTCCCCTCAACAAGATGATTCACTGGAAAAAAATATGCAAATATATCTCTCAATATTTATTACATTTCACTAAATGAGCAAAGTTCCTTCATTTGGAATTTTCATGCCTAACTAAGAAAGCTTTCTCCTTATATGGCGCCAGCTGGGCCAAAGCTCTTGCCATCTTTGAGTTAATCTGACAGGTTGCCATTGCCGGTTTCTTCCCGATTCCTTCCTAGTTCAATTCTTATTTTCCACCAAAGAAAGATATAAAGTGATTCTACCAGAGCAGGAGCACAGAATTCAGCTTCCTGATAAGTGAAGCTTCTATTACTATAGAGAATAAGTTCTCTAAAGACCGGGGAAGTAGAGGTAGAAGCAGTAGGCAGTGCCTGATGAAATCCCAGAAGGCAAAGGAGCCATTTCCAGGAACCCACAGAGAGTTATCAAGTTTTACTCACAGCACAGATCTTGGGATCTAGTTTGGTTCAATCACTTTTGAGTGTGATCACCTTTTTTTAATGGAAATTTTTGTGGATTCTAATATTGTGGCAGAAGAGCAGAAACGTTTGTATTTTATGGGACCCTTCTCCCCATTCTTGGTCACAAATCTCTGGGGTAGAAAATCATTTACTGCCTGAGTTTCATTCTTCATATAATCCACTCCTTCTCTTACTGCTGTTGTTTGCCAAAGATACTTCAAATTCTATAATCATTTTCCCTCCCATCTTTGATATCGATCAATACATATTTGAAGAAAGCATTTCAATATTTTAACGTTTCTCAGTGGAATTCCACAGTAGATGGAAGTTGGCACTTTGATCATTTAAAATCCCATGAGTTCCAATAGCGAGAGAACACTCCCAAAATTCATACCCATTCCCTCAATAAATCAAAGTTATAACTTCATTTTAAGTGTGTTATGTAGATTTAAATAATATTCTAGAAAAAGGATATGGTCCCAGTGCTGGAATTGTACTGCTGAATTTGAAGTCACTCATGATTCACAAATTTGTGGAATCTGCACAATAGTTATACAAGAGCAGAATATGGCACACAGTGTACATGGTTTACTATATGTGCATCTTGGACTGTTTTGGAGAGGCCAATTTTTAAGATGCTGAAAAATGAAAAGGAAGACTCTGCAGATTCGATAGTACTAACAATAGTCAGGAAGACACAATTTCAGTGCCAAGACTTGCTATGTTCCTATCCACACACTCCTCAGGTTATATTGTGGAAGCAGAATTATATAAAATAACCTAATCTTGGCGAACATATTGGGTGTTTACTAATGTTCTAGCTGACTTTTAGACTTTAGATCTTGGGAAAGGGGAAAGCAAAATTCTCTCTTCCACACTGCAAGCAATACATTTTCAGTGAGTTAGGATGGCACAAGTGCAGGCAAGGCCAACAATGGGACTGAAAATTAAAGTAGTTTTGGAGTTTTGTAGCATTGGTTCAGTGCCACAGTACAGTGTTACCTACTACAATAATTCACCACACCAGCCCCACAACTGGAGGGGGGAGGGGAGGAAGCAGGTTTTAGTCAATTATTACCTAATTAGTGCAAGAGAACAGCACTGAGGGCAACACAGTAGGATACAATTGGACTAATTACCTGCCAGAGGCAACGGGGTGGATTTTGCAGAGGTCCTACAAACAACATTTTACAATTTTTATTGGAAAGGAAGGAAACTGATCTGATCTCCTTCTGTAGTCCCCCAGCCTCCAGAAAAGCTGATATCAAATTCTTACCACCGGCAGCATTCCTTTCTTGGAAATAGCCTCCCCATTATGGGGAGAACAATCCCTTTGCCTTCAGTATCAGCAGAGAGGGTGGGCTGAAGGAGAAAAAAACCATCAATTCCCTAAGCTTTCTGGATGCCAACAGATGGTAAGCCCAAGACATCTTGCCCTTACCGCTGCAGTCTCCCGCTCTGTCCCTGAAACGGTCACAGCATCAGCAAGGAGGGGGACAGACATGTTGTTACCGCACATACAACTATACAATTCACACCTGCAGAGGATGAGAAACACACAACCAATTAATCTATTTAAATCAGCCTCCTAGAGCTGGATGACTTCAGGGGATGGTTGGGAATTTTGAAAGTGAAATGTCTATTCTAAACAATTTTCCTGTAAATTTCAATGTAAGAAATACTCCACAGCTTTTACCTTTTAGGAACTGATAGCAGAGCTGTAAGTAAGTAAACCACTTTAAGATCCAGAAGATTCATACCTTCCCATCAAATCCCTGCAAGTTCACTCTCAAACTCCTTCAGTTTTCTCTTAGTTCATAAACAATGAAGAACAGGGGGTTTGCTTTTTTAAAGTTATTTTTATTTTTTCATTTTTAATGAAATCAGCATTTTTGAGTAACACCTATAACCCAGAAGATTCATGTTTAAAGAATGTCTTTGGCTATTAGACCAGAAAAAAATAAGCTGTAGTCAATTATTCTGAAGACAGCGCTTTTCTAGAAAATGTGCTTCACAAAGCCTTAACATAGTTCATACCAAAATCCAACTCAGTTTTAAAAATACTTTATATTTTATTCTTTATATCTCATAACAGCATGTTTTAACAATTTCACAAGGATACTCTTAAAACTCTTTTTAACTTAAAAGTTCTTTTATATGCTAAAACAGAATTGTGCTACCTAAAACTAGGAGCAAAATTTGCACCTGATGCTCAAACGCAGTAAATATTTTAAAACCCCACCCAGCTGGGGCAACAACAGCTTTACTTTGTATAGGAATATTAAAAATAATAGGAAAAGCACTCTAAGGTGTCTTAATTTTCTCAGCAACTGGACAATGACCTACCTACATGCTGGGATTAAGATAAGTCATAGGTATTAAACATTACATGTTCTGCATATTTAGATTAGCTTTCTTATATTAGTACACTTGCCAGCATGCTGGTTGAGAATTGTGTGTTGAAGGCCAACTGGCAATTTCAGATTGGGAAACATTTTTTTAGACAAGTAATTCATTTGCTGAATTGCTCTCAAGAATTTTTAAAAGTATTTTATTAAAGGTTATTTTCCCACTTCTTGTATATATCTATAAATTGTAAATTAGGTATACATAGAATGAACACTGAATGAAACTGCTGTTGCAAAAGAAAAATTTAAGACATAGTTACACTAAGAAATATATGTTTAGAATAGATACACAGACTCTGTGTCTGTGTGTGTGTACATGAGAATGTACTAAGAATTGATTGCCAAGTGTTAGCTATTGCTTCCCTCTTTCCAGATTTATCTTAGAAACTCAAACTACTTCCAAATGTTTTCAACTATTCTTTAGCTTATTTCATTTGTAGCTGTAAAAACCTCATAAGAGTATTACAAACAGAAAGAACAGCCTTTTATTTTAATGGGAGATAAACAGGAAAAGGAGAACAGTATGCTAGGAGGTTAAAAAAAACCCACTGAAATCTAAGTTGACTAATTTCATTTCATTTTCCTCATTATCTCAGACCAATAAGACACAAATGCAAAATGTAAAATGGGGGGGGGGGGGATCCTGAGTCAATAACAATAAGAAGATATTACCCAAGTTCTGCAAGCCATGGTTTTTGCTACAATAAGCAGCACATGTACCAAATACATCTGCCTTTGGTTTTCCCCACAATAACAATCCTGTGAGATGGGTTGGGCTGAAAGAGAGGGACTGATCCAAAATCACCCAGCTAGCTTTCATGCCTATGGCAGGACTAAAACACACACTTCATTCCTTATGCAAAATATAATCTGTAAAGAGCCAGCCTTCTGGCAGCATTTACCTCTAATGCTCCCCAAAGAATCAGGAATTACAATGGAAAATTCACTATAAGTGCCATTTCCAGATTTTTAGCTAAGTTACCCATTATAGTGAACAATCTGTTGTAAAAGTCTAACCACTGTAGTGTGACTTCCTGGAAAAAAATAGCAATCCAAGTGGCCCATATTCCAAAGCCTAAACATTCTACCCCTAAACTAAGCACTGACCACCGTTTAAAGAAAGAAAACCAACATGCAGTAATTTATTTTTCACCAATTTTGTGAACATGCCTTTAGCTAGCAATAATAATCAGAAAATCTAGTTGATGAATAAGCTAAGGGAGCCACTCAACAGTAGACTTTGATTGGAGCTGGAGAAAGTTACATTTGTCCGCAGCTAAAATAATAATTTACAAAAGGAAAACTAATAGAAAATATAAAATTCAATCTATTGGCCTCTTCGAATGATAATGATCAGAGTTCCAGCAACATTTTGTCTCGGATAGGAACTCTCCCCCTCACATAACACTTAAGGAAGTAATAAATGATTATTAGTCAAGTGGATTGAGCAGCAATTTTATATATTCAGTATGAAGGAAAATAAATTAGCACCTTCCTCAACAGCCTCAGCTTCTTTCAGAGCAATAAGGATATTGCTAAGAAGCTTCTATTTGCAAAACATGAATGTACAATTCTCTATAATGCTTTCACTTTTGGAGTATTGCATCTCAATGACCTTGCCATCATTGTGAAAAGCTTTTCTCACTCTGAAACCAGTACCAAACTAGGCACTACTCCATCCTTTAACTCACTTGTCACTTCCAAACTTAGGTTTTACCCACTTTGAAGAGAGGCTCTTATCCCATACAGAACCCTGAGAAACAACACAAGAGGAAGTTATTTATTTAGGACAGTTTAAGGACTGTTCATTTAAACATAGTTACATATACCCCAATGACTGAAAGATTAAAACAAAATTTTCTCTCATGCCCACCAAGTAAAGGGCCCAGCTGTTTATATAAATGCTGATAACAATCCAGCCACAGGAAGAACTCAAATGTATTTTCCTTATTACCACAGCACCACTGATGTAGCTAATGAAGAAAAACAGTAACTACCCCAGATATTATCTACAGCATATGGCTTGATCAGAAAGGCCATTTTCTTTCTGCCATCAGAAAGTCTTCTGTGACTTGTCTCTTGCAGTGCAATCATACTACATTCTGGTTCTATTGCTGATGGCACAGTCAGAAGAAGAGAAAAATATCACAGCCAGGAAAACAACACTGGAAAGGAAAACTCCGAAACTGGACAATCTATCTGAAAATCACTTTTTCCAGGATAAATAAAATAAAAAGAACTAGTCTTCTAGGTCTGCAGAAGAAATCCCAGTTTCAGTTTTCTCTACAATGCAAAGCACTGGTGACATTCTTTACCAGCCAGCTTCCCCTTCCAATGTTCCTTACCTTTATTATAAGCCCAAATTTTTCTCTTATTACAGTATAAACCAGGCCTGGGCATTTTACAGTCCATAGGCCATATTGGGCCCTTTGGCTCTCCCTATCTGGCTCATGTGGATTGCTTTTATTTTGAAGGTGACTTCAATTTTTTTTAAAATTTACCTGCCTATGCACCTTCATAGCTTTATTGGTTCGGTCCTCCATAACAGTCCCAGTTTCTCATGTGCCCCTTGGAAAAATTAATTTCCCATCATTGGTATAGACCCACAAGCAACCCAAATTAAAACATTTTTAAGGGACAAGTCACTTCTTAGGCAACTTGTTCATATTTCTAAGTTCCACCCAACTCCAACACAATACAATAAAATGCTCTTCTAGCTGTAATATGAATGGTGTGGTAACAGGGATTGTGAGAGATTCACTAAATGGTCCCTTGGCTAGGTCTATTCTGATTTGAAGTTCTAATTACTAATCTCAAAGTAGGTATCAAAAATATGCATGCCAAGCAATTCACATATTGTTGAACATCCTTTGGAAGGTGAGATTTCAAAAGCAACTTGTAATAACTGCAGAAATGGTGGAAAATCTTTGGATCTTAAAATTCAATCTCAGTGGAGGAAATGCTATCATCACAATTAAAACCTGGGCAATTTTACTCATTAGAATAAACTGGAATAGGGGACTGCTTCAAGCTGAACTAGAAGCACTGGATAGAAGGACCAGAAAAATAATGATAATGAATCATGCCTTTCATCTGTGCAGCAATGTTCACTTGTACTTTCCAAGGAGCACAGGTAGGCGTGTAATATTGCAAATACACCCGTTGAATAAAAAAGGGGCACTGGAATAGCTGAAGGACAGTGAAGAAGGTACACTGAATCTAGTACAACATAAAGTCTTTACTGAACACAAAGAAACAAAACTGCCCATAAGATACAACAGATGACAAAATATTCTATGACCGGTACATTAAAAAGAGCAGGTAAAGCAGATAACAGCAAAACCTGGCAATGGCTGGAAGCAGGAACATTGAAGAAAGAGACAAGAGAGACTAATTCTGGTTGCACAAGACCAAGCCTTGAAAACAAATGCATAAATCCAGCATTGAGAAGATACCCAGCAAATGTCATGTTTGCAAAGAAGCTGAAGAAACAGTGAACCACCGAGTTAGCTGATGCAAGAAAATTCTACAAGCTGATTACAAACAATGGAATAACAATGTAAGAGTAAAGATGCATTGGAATACTTGCAAGAAATACTTCTTGCCCCCAAGCAAGAACTATTGGGACCAAGACAAAAAAAAAGTTTGGACAGTGAACATTACATCTGGAGATAGCAAAAGAGAAGAGAAAGAACTGGAGAAAATAATAAAATATAAAGATCTGCAAATAAAAGCAAAGCTATTTGTGGCAAAAGAAAGCAAAAGTAGTACCAATAATAATAGGCTCCTTTGGTATAATTTTAAAACATCTGGAGTACCACTAGAACACCATCAGAGTATTGACAAAACCACCATTAGGCAATTGAAAAAGGCAGTGTTACTTGGAATAGCTTACATCCTGCAAAGATCTTAATATTGTTGAATAGTAATATCTGCTTATCCCAGGCCCTTGGGAAGGTTTTCATAGCTGGTTAAAAATGCCTAATCCAATTTAAACATCTAACTAACTGTATGACCAACCATAGTATTTCTGAAGCCTAGTTGCAAATTAAAAAGAAAGTTATTATGAACTCAATCAAGGAAAAACTTTACGTGCTAGGTACACTTAATTCTGCTGTGAAACAAAGAATTTAATTATGCCTGATTTTATACAGGGTAATTAGCCTAGTATGTCAAATAGTGGATGACAAGAAGCTGAGAAGACTGGGGTACAAAATTGCAGGTATGTTCACAATCTCATAGAGATAGAACCATATTTTTCTTGTTTCTATTTCATGCCATTGTCTGATTAACAATAGAAAGTCCAGGAGGCAACAAGTTTAATAATTATCCTTTTGACAAGTCAGAAAAAAAACTCCAGATTCCAGGACACCTATATATCAAGAATCAAAGTTACTAGAACTCTGAATATTTGCTGCAATCTCTATCCACCAGATTGAATTACTACCATTCTCTTTTCCTTCCAGTCCTTGACTATAAATTCAAATAAATAAATTCCTGATCAGAATCACTGGTGGAAAGGCTGGATACAGACTTATATTTAAGTCACAAAAAACATAGTCAAAAAAGGTTTAAGACCATTTGCTAAAAGAACAGAAAAGATGTAAATGGAGAAGGTAGACATCTCTTTGGAAACACAAGAAAGAGAACTTGACAAAATATTTTTTAATTAAGCTTCTGAAATTTGTTACCACAAACTGAAGCATCAGTCACTAATTGGCTTGGCTTTTTAAAGAGATCAGATAAATTCATGTTCAAAGGCAGTAAAGAATTTCCGTCACAGTAAGTTTGATTCTGGAGCAAGTTTGTTAGCCATACAGTAGTTAAAAACAAAAAACCTGGAAAAGGAACTTGGCATGAACACTGCACGGTTCTTCTGTACTACCTTTATTAGAATGAGAATGAAATGAGTTAAAAAACCATTATAGTTCTTTACCCAACTTTGCATGAAAAGTGAAGCAGTTCACAATTGTGAACAAAATTTCAACTGCATGGCCTGTTAACAAAAGGAAGCTAATATTAATAAAGCTTGCTCAGAAATGACAGCTCTCAGAGATGAGTTTGCTGCAAGGTCCCAATGAACTCCTAATCCAAGAAATTCTAAAACAACAATTAGCTTCTTCATTAATCTTAGATCTAGCTATTACAAAGCACAGAGTGAGCAAACTTCCAAAGAACCTGAAAGTCAATTCATCAGTTTATGATATTTTTCGTGGCTATGTTACTGATATTTACCCACCAACAAGCTATTGTATTTTTAGGCTGCAAATATATAATCATTTTTATTCATCCAAAGGTGACATCAGAGAAGATTTCCTTGAAATTATGGTAAGATAAAACTCCTCTTGAAAAAAAGCTGATGCTAATTTTCTTAATTATAATCAAAGATAATTTTAAAATTGATTTCTCTTCCTTTGGTCCTTTTAATGTAAAAAATCACTACTACAGAAGTCAACAAATTGTAAATTGTTTCATATACAATAAATGGGGTACCACAAATCAAATGATACCATAAATGGTTTGATTCACCAATTTTGTTATTTGGGAAATGGAAAGAGGAACAGTTCCTCTTAAACTTTCCCCACACCTTACTATATCAATCTTTTGCCTGTTCAATATAATGTATAAAATATTTCTTAATAAAGAGCTATTATCCTTAGGTGGGAATAAATGGCTAATGCCCAAATTACAAATTTGGAAAGAGAACTGCTCAAGGTCATGGAAGGCAAAACCAATAACCATTATCAGTCACAGAAATTCCAGTTGGACAATGCCCCATATTTAGATACAGGATTAGGTATTTATGAACTTATATAATCCAGGCTTTATGTAATCAAATTTCTGCTGAAGCTGAAATTCATCCAACTGCCCCTAAAACATGGAATAGAAATCTACATGTACTTATTTTCCTTTTTTTTTAAATTGAAACATTTTTTGTAAAATTGAGTTCAAATTAGATTGTGTTACACAAGATGGGGAACATCCGTAATCAAATATCAGATGATAGCAACAGACAAAAAAGTGTACACATCCTGTATATATGTTTTAGAAGCATATGACTGCTATGAAAATTATAATGCCAATCTAAAGAGATCTTGTTCCCATGTCCTAAGGATATTCCTATACAACCTTTATGAAAAAAACATGGTGTCATTTAAGTATGAGCAAAATCATAAACTAATTATATTATAAATAACATGATTTTCATTAAAGGCTATATTACAAGTACAAAATACTGGTCTCACGTATAATAACCATGACAAAAGCACCAAACTAGGAAGTTCATAAAGTTTTAATTTGATACATTCAATGAGTTAAATATCTATATTTATAAATAACTTACAACCAAAACTATTACTATCTTTATTACAAGAACACCAGATGGATTCAAATGTTTACCCTACACACACACACACACACATTCCTTTATTATGTTAGCTGCAAGCATTGTTGGGCATTCAAACAGGTTATATGTTTGTTAAATATAAACTGATTTTAAGAAAAAGATAAAACATAAGGTAATTTTATTCCTCTTATTACAGACTGGTTGTTACGTTTACACAAAATCTATGAGTAGCCTTTATTTTTATACCTTATTTTTATACCTCATGAAATTTGGAGATATCAAATACGGTCATCATACCTTTTGTGATGGCCTAGTAATCTCCTGGAAATCTGCTCTATGTTTTTTTCTGAAAAGCCCCACAACTTTAAAACTGCTTCTGTGATTAAATATCGGTTTTCTTTTATAGCATCAGATAACAAAACCCTGCACTGCCCATTAGGCATCACAATCGCTTCATTCAAGACATACAATTAGCCACTCAAGTGCCACGATGCCAACTTAGAAAACCATTGACTTTCAGCTGAATATTTCTTGTGCCTTTTCACCTCCCCAGCTGCAAGAAGGAAGCCCAGAGCTGCCTCACCTGCTTTGTTCCATTTCCGAAGCAAAGTTTTTAACAGGGCAAGTGAGAGTTTGGAGGGATCCTCCTCCTCCTCCTACCCGACTCTCAGCAACCTAAGAACCCACCCTGATGTGTGTGGCCTGCCTTGCCTTTCTCTTGCCTCACCCTCTCTCCCCCAAATATCCGTCTTTTGCCCTCTCGGACACTCTTTAGACCAGGGGTGTCCAACCTTGGCAACTTTAAGACTTGTGGACTTCAACTCCCAGAATTCCTCAGCCAGCAAAGCTGGCTGAGGAATTCTGGGAGTTGAAGTCCACAAGTCTTAAAGTTG